GAGATCGTGCCATTGCACTCCAGCCTGGGCAACAAGAGCAAAACTCCGTCTCAAAAAAAAAAAAAAAAAAAGAAAAAATTTGATTCTCCTAGAACTTTAACGTAAAATGTTCTAAGGGATTTTCCTCAGAATTTAAAGGTGAATTATGACTCCAAAGTAGATTTTTAGAGTAGAAATTAGCCTTTAGCATCATTCACTTAAACTTTGTAGAAAAATTCAAAGGTATCTGGTATGGGATGGGTAGCCTAAAGCAGAGATTTCCTTGAGGGGCTCATGAGACAGTTTTCATGGCATTTCATTTACTTCTCTTTTCTTTCCTTTTTGATTTCTTTTCAAAATTCTTTCTACTACTTATTTTTCTGTTTTCTCCAATTGTTCATTTTAAATATCTTGTTTATACTATTGGAGCAAATATGTTTTTTTCTTTCTTGCTCACACTTGAAATTTGCTATGGACGCTCCGAGGGCATTGACAAGCCCCTTTAGTACCCCTGAAGAATGAATTGCTCAATAAAGTGAAGTGTAAGTTTGATTTAGACATGCTAAGATCAACTGGGCTTTGGATCATGGCCCGTTATTGATTAAAGCTAAGGTAAATGGTCTTCCAAGTTTCTGTGCTTTTGAATTGATCAGTCTCGTGTTGGCATGCAGTTACAGAATTTTATTACTGACCAGGTGTGGTGGCTCATGCCTGTTATCCCAGCACTTTAAGAGGCTGAGTCAGGCAGATTACTTGAGTCCAGGAGTTTAAGACCAGCTTGGGCAATGTGGCAAAACCCTGTCTACAAAAAAATTTAACGGGTGTGGTGGTGCACATCTATGGTCTCAGCTATTCGGGAGGCTGAGATGAGAGGATCACCTGAGCCTGTAATGCAGAGGTTGCACAGTGGCTCACGCCTGTAATGCCAGCAATTTGGGAGGCTGAGGTGGGTGGATCACCTGTGCTCAGGAGTTCAAGATTGTGTCACTGCACTGCAGCCTGGGCGGCAGAGTGAGATCTTACCTCCAAAACAAAAAAAGGCCAGGCGCAGTGGCTCGTGCCTAGAATCCCAGCACTTTGGGAGGCCAAGGCAGGCAGATCATCTGAGGTTGGGAGTTCAAGACCAGCCTAGCCAACTTGGTAAAACTCTGTTTCTACTAATAATACAAAAATTAGCTGGGCATGGTGGCATGCGCCTTTAATCTCAGCTACTCGGGAGGCTGAGGCAGGAGAATTGCTTGAACCCAGGAGGTGGAGGTTGCCATGAACCAAGATAACGCCACTGCACTCCAGCCTGGGCGACTGAGTGAGACTCCATCGCAATAAAAAAAGAGAGAAGAAAATAATTACCTACTTTGGGCTGTATTTCTAAGCAGTCCAGTTCTGACAAGACTAGCTGTATGTATTGAGACACAGTCAGCTTTGCATGTTTTTCTAGCTGTATTGCTATTAATATCAGAAGGGAATGCCGCCTTCCTACTACTGTCATTCTTAAGTGTTTTTTCCCCTTTGCCTTGGAGGAATTATAAAGATGTCATGAGAAACTTGGTCAGCTATATCAGAAATACAATGTTCATTTCCACTGTTGTTTTTGTTCTCTATAGCTTCCCATTGACCGGGGTGGAGGTGAAGGAAAGGCCATGTACATTGACACCGAGGGTACCTTTAGGCCAGAACGACTGCTGGCAGTGGCTGAGAGGTAGGTTCCTGGTTTAGATAAGAGGGAATATGGCTACACTTATCAAAGTAGTGACTGCCCGGGTTAGTTTGGCCGAAGAGTGTTTCTTCTATAACCCCACTTCCCAAAGTTATATGTGTGGTTCAAAAGAATGACTTCCTTAGTAGAAAAAGGTGTTTTTTTTTTTTTTCCAGATGGAGCCTTGCTCTTGTCACCCAGGCTAGAGCGCAATGGCGTGATCTCAGCTCACTGCAACCTCCCTCCTGGGTTCAGCCTCCCTAGTAGCTGAGATTACAGGTGCCCGCCACTACGCCCAGCTAATTTTTTGTATTTTTAGTAGAGATGGGGTTTCACCATGTTGGCCAGGCTGGTCTTGGACTCCTGACCTCAGGTGATCCACCTCCCTTGACCTTCCAAAATGCTGAGATTACAGGCGTGAGCCACCACACCTGGCCAGGAAAAGGCATTCTTTACAGTTGCTCTCAGACTGGATTAAAAAAAAAAAAAATCCAACTATATGTTGTCTTCCAGAGAAACCCTTTAGAAAGTAAAAGAATGGAAAAAGATATTGCATGCAAATAGTAACCATAAGAGACCCTGAGTGGCTATACTATTATCAGATAAAGTACACTTTAAGACAAACACATTATATACAAAGAGGAACATTTTATAATTAAAAGGTCAGTTTGTCAGGAAGATATAACAGTTGTAAACATATACACACACGCCTAACAACAAAGCCCCAAAATACACGAAACAAAAACTGAATTAAAGGGGGAAATAGACAACTCAACAATAATAGTAGGGGACCAGTTTTTCATTTTCAGTAATGGATACAGGCTTCAATATCTCACTCTCGATAATGAATATAACATGTATCAGAGGTCCTACTAAAGGGCATCTGTGAAATACCTACAGGTAGCATCATACTAAATGGTGAAAATTCTCTGTTGCCCAGACTGGAATGCAGTGGTGGTATCTTGTCTCACTGCAACTTCCACCTCTCGGGTTCAAGTGACTCTCCTGCCTCAGCCTCCCGAATAGCTGGTACTACAGGCGTGTGCCACCACGCCCAGCTAGTTTTTGTATTTTTAGAAGAGACAGGGTTTCTCCATGTTGGCCAGGCTGGTCTCAAACTCCTGACCTCAAGTGATCTGCCTGCCTTGGCCTCCCAAAAGTGCTGGGATTACAGGTATGAGCCACTGCACCCAGCCTTAATGGTGAAATTCTGAATGCTTTTCCCCCTAAAGTCGGTAACAAGGCAAGGATGCCCACTTTCACTATTTACATTCAGTAATGTACCGAAGATTGTGGACAGTGTAGTCAGACAAGCAAATGAAATAAGTGGCATCCAGATTGGAATAGAAGAAGGAAAACTATTTACTGATGACATGGTGCTATATGTAGAAAATCCTACAAGAAAAACTAGAACTAAATAAACTGGTTCAGGAAAGTTGCAGAATACAGTATCAATATACAAAAATACATTGTATTTCTATATACTAGACCATAACAATTCAAAAGTCAAGCTTAAAAAAAAAAAAACTTCACAGTAGCATGAAAAAGAATAAAATACTTAGGAATAAATTTAACAAAAGGAATGTAAGATTTGTACAGCAAAAACTCTTAAAACATTGCTGAGAAAAATGGAAGATTTACATAAAGAGAAACATTCCATATCATGGATGGGAAAACTCAATATTATTAAAATGGCATTCTTGGCCAGGTACAGGGGCGCACACCTTAATCCCAACACTTTGGGAGGCCAAGGTGGGCGGATTACCTGAGGTCAGGAGTTCAAGACCAGCCTGACCAGCATGGCGAAACCCTGTCTCTACTAAAAATACAAAATTTAGCCAGACATGGTGGCGTACTGCCTGTAGTCCGAGCTACTTGGGAGGGTGAGGAAGGAGAATCACTTGAACCAGGGAGACAGGTTGCAGTAATCTGAGATTGTGCCACTGCACTCCAGCCTGGGTGGAGTCTGTCTCAAGACACCAGACTGAGTTCTCCTCAGATTTATCTACAGATTCAACACAATCCTTATCAAAATTCCAGCAAGCGGTTTTTTTTGCAGAAATTTACAAAATAATCACATTTATGGGATATAACTTATGGAAATGCAAAGGACCCAGAATAGCTGAAATGTCTGGAAAAAAAAGAAAATTTGAGATTTTAGACTTTTTGGTTTAAAAACTTATTATAAAGCTACAATAACCAAGACAATATGGTGATGGCATAAGGATAAACATGGAGAGTTCAGAAATGAAACCTTTATGGTCACTTGATTTTTGACAAAGGTAAGGGGCGATTTTTTTAAATTTTAAATTTTTTGCAAATACACATGGTCTCGCTGTGTTGCCCAGACTGGTCTCGAACTCCTGGCCTCAGGTGATCCTCCCAACTCAACTTTCCCAAAGTATTAGGATTACAGATGTGAGCCACCAAACCTGGTTGACAAGGCAATTTAATGAGGGAAAGAATGGTCTTTTCAATAAGTTGTGCTGATGTAGGTGAATTTCCAAATGCAAAACAATAACTTTAGACCCTTACTATACACCACACGTAAAAATTAAAATAGATAACAGTGTGGTCATTCCTCAAAAAATTAAACACAGAATGACCATGTGATCTAACAGTTCCATTTCCTGCTATATATTCAAAAGAATTGAAAATAGGAACTCAGAGACTTGGACACCGATGTTCATAGCAGCATTACTCACAATAGCTTTGGAAATAACCCTATGTCCATTGACAAATGAATATATAACATGTGGTATATACACACAATGAAATGTTATTTTAGCCTTAAAAGGAAGAAAAATAATTTTTTTCTTAGACCTAGTCCTGTAGATAAAAAGATAGGAAATTCTGACACATGTTATTAACATCCACTCACCTTGAGGACATGCTAAGTGAAATAAGTTAGTCACAAAAAGACAAAAACTGAGGCCAGGCGCAGTGGCTTCATGCCTGTAATCCCAGCACTTTGGGAGGCCGAGGCAGGTGGATCACCTTAGGTCAGTTGAGACCAGCCTGGCCAACATGGTGAATCCCCATCACTGCTAAAAATATGAAAAATTAGCCAGGCGTGGTGGCACACACCTGTAATCCCAGCTACTCCGGAGGCTGAGGCAGGAGAGTCGCTTGAACCTGGGAGTCGGAGGTTGCAGTGTGCGGAGATCATGCCATTGCACTATAGCCTGAGCAACAAGAGTGAAACTCTGGCTTGGAAAAGGGAAAAAAAGGGACAAAAACTGTATGATTCCACTAATATGTGGTACTTCAAAATCAGACAGAAAGTAGAATGTGGTTTTCTGAGGGTAGGGAGACTGGGGTGTTATTGTTTAATGGTACAGTTTCAGTTGGGGATGATGAAAAAGCTCTGGAGGGCCGGGCGTGGTGGCTCACGCTTGTAATCCCAGCACTTTGGGAGGCCGAGGCGGGCGGATCACGAGGTCAGGAGATCGAGACCATCCTGGCTGACATGGTGAAACCCCGTCTCTACTAAAAAATACAAAAAACTAGCCGGGCGAGGTGGTGGGCGCCTGTAGTCCCAGTTACTGGGGAGGCTGAGCCAGGAGAATGGCGTGAACCCGGGAAGCGGAGCTTGCAGTGAGCTGAGATCCGGTCACTGCACTCCAGCCTGGGCGACAGAGCGAGACTCCGTCTCAAAAAAAAAAAAAGAAAAAAAGAAAAAGCTCTGGAGATGAATAGTGGTGATGGTTGCATAGCAGCATGAATGTCCTTAATGCACCTGAACTGTATACTTTAAAATAGTTAAAATGCTCAATTTAATGTTATATGTTTTACTATACTGTTTTTAGAAGGGTGGTAATCCTAAATAAGAGCCTAAACTATAATGTTTCAGAGAGAACATGGGGGGAAATCTTAGTGACCTTGGGGTAGGCAAATATTTAGTAGCTACACTACCAAACACACAGTCCACGAAAGAATAAATTGATAATAGAGTGAGTTTTCACTTCATCAAAATTAAAAACTTTTGTGCTTCGAAGGACACTATGAAGGAAATGAAAAGATAACCCAAAGAATGTGAGAAAATATTTGCAAATCATGTATCTGATAAAGGTCTAGTATCCAGAATATATAAAGAACTATTATAACCCAACAATAAAAAGATAATCCAGTTGTTTAAATGGGCAAAGGATTTGAATAGATATCTCTCCAAAGAGGATATACAATGGCTGATAAGCACATAAAAAGATGCTCAACATCATTAATCATCAGGAAAATGCAAATTGAAACCGTGGTGAGCTACCACTTCACACCCACTATGAAGGCTATAATAAAAAAAGACAGTAACAAATACTGGGAGGACGTAGAGAAACTGGAACCCTCACATATTGCTGGTGACAATATGCATTGGTGGTCTCTTTGCAAAACAGGTGGCTGCTTAAAAAGTTAAAAATGAATTTACCATATGATGCAGCAATTTTACTCTAGTTATATACCCAAGAGAAATAAAAACATGTCATACAAAGACTTGTATGATAATGTTTATGGTATCACTGTAATAGCCCAAAATATCCATCAACTGGTAAATGAATAACCAAAATTTGTTTTCTCCATACAATGGGATACTCTTCAGCAATAAAAAAAGAACTTAAGTACTGATACATGTTAACAACATGGATGAACTTTGAAATATGCTAAATGATAGAAGTTAAACACAAAAGACCACATATTGTATGATTCCGTTTATATGAAATTTCCAGAAGGGGATAATCTAAGAGATAGAAGAATTGTGGTTACTGTCGATAGGAATTAGGAGTAACTGTGAATGAAGCTGAGAGATTTTTTTAGGGGTGATGAAAATGTTCTAAAATTGGATTGTGCTCATGGTTATACAACTCTGCAAATTCACTAAAGCTCTCAATGAATTTTATATTTACAGCAGGTCATTTTTGAGGTATGTTAATTATACCTGAGTAAAGCTTGTGAAGAGGTTATAAGTTTCTGTATCCTCAAATAAAGTTTTGAAATACAGCCTCAAAATTGTTTTACTTCTTTTCCTTTGTCTAGGGTCAAATGTGGTAATTTAGCCCTGCCACACATTTTATGGAAACCCAGTGATAAAACAATTTAATTATATGCTGAGACGTCAGACTCAAGTTGGAACCTGCCTAAATAAGTTGAGGAGAATATTCTCTCTTGTTTTATAATCAAATTATCTTTCCCAGCTTATAATTTGAGGACTGCAACCTATTAAATGTATACCCTGAAGCACAAAATTAGGTTGGAATAGTAATTGCAGCTTTTTGCCTCTGCCTACAAAATCCCTATGAAGGAAAAGGAATTACTCTTTTGCAGCCTGATCTTAGTTTTCTGAAGATGTATATACTTGTGTCTTTTCTCCCAAAATTGTTTTGGCAATCTTGTACAGCATTCATACTTTTAAGTATACTATTTTAGTAGTTTAAGGATTCTCTTTTGGACAGAGTCACTAAAACATCGTCTCGTAACATAAGTATTCAGATAGGATAGATGAGCTAGTAGAATATAGGCTATGAGGACAAGAACTTTGATTTGGTCAACCACTGGATGCCCAAGCCATAGAGCAGTGCATTCAGCATTTGTTAATGAATGTTTTGCTCACAAAAAATATTTTTTTTGTTTGTGTTTTTAGAGATGGGGTCTCACTCTGCCCCGCTAGAATGCAACAGTACAATCAACAGTACAAC